TGTAGCCCAAAAATAAAAGTTAGTTTTAAAATTATTTTTATTTTTTTATTCCTATATAAATGACGGCAACAAACAACAACAGCAACTATATCGTTTCTGATGAAAAAGTTATTGATTCATTAGCTGAGGAATTAGTTGTTGCAGAAACTAAAACCCTCACACGAAGAATTGGTGAAACAAGATTGATTTACATAACTACCTCAAACACGATGGAGGAAGAGGAAGGAAAACTGGTATGGCTTTATTAGTAAATAAAATTTCAAATTTAACGATTATAGATGTTGATATCCATAAAATCGTACAATGATGAACTTAAAGAAACAGTTAGAAAAGACATTTTATCAAAACTTTCGGATAAAGATGTTATCGTTAAAACCGCATCAGGAGGTCTTCACATTTATTGCAACACTAATTTCTTCTATTCAACCTCGAACAGAATGATTAAATGTTATTCCTGCAATGATTATGATATTGACATAATGATCTCATGGATGATTCAAAGGCTTCATTAGTGGTTATGGCTGATTCAAGATTCGCAAGAATGCAACAGAACCAATCAAAACATACTCATTCATTCGTGGAATATATGATTCAACATTAACTAGAACAGTAAACGATATATTAAATGATTTGAATATTAAGGTAAGAGTTGAACAGAAGAATGAAGAAATAAAGAGTATAATGAATGAAAACAAAGATGTAAACATTGACGATAAACTTGCCAGAGCATAGTTGATGGCATCTGTGATTTTGAAGTACATAATGACGGTGGAAACATGAATTTAGAAAAAGAAATAACATTATTCACACTGTTTCAAGCAATTAATTCTTACCGGATCATTAATTAATGAAGCCTACGATAACGTTTATAACTTCTGCAATTTAACTGAAAATGCTAAAAGTAATTTTGAAAAAGCACGTAGTAGATATGCACATTTAATGACTTCTCCATTTGTTTTAGTGAAGATTCTAAAACTATACCAAAAGGAATATTATGATGAATACGTTTTACCTTATTACGTAGCCAAAAATAACATTTGATATAAAACTTGATGATTCATTCTTGATAACAGATATTAGACGCAAGGCTGAAAATCATCAGTATAAAAACAGTTCTGAAGTAATTGAGGATTTATCACGTGTAATCCGTTTTGTAGATTGTGGAAACAAATACTTCATTCAGAAAGATTACAACATACACGACAAAATGAATCAAATATCATTCGTTCTTCAATCAAACATGAAAGAGTCACTCAAAATGATTAAATTTATTAAAGAAGAAGGTAAAACCATAACAGCATGGGACGTACTATTAAATCAATTATCCTCATTAACCGTTAAGGGTGTTTCTTTAAATCTGATTCTCACGATGTTTTCTCAACGTTTCAGGGTTATAAAATACAACATTCTTGAAAAGCCTGATTACTCAAAAATTGAGATGTTTATGGATTTCATTAAAGAAGCCATTTGTGATAATAACGATGAAGTGTATAAATACCTTCTCGGCTGGATTGCAATCATGATTCAACATCCTGGAATCAAGAATGAAACAGCAATTATTTTGAAAGGACTTCAGGGAACAGGTAAAAACAGATTTACAGACATTATTTCTGAACTTCTCGCTGGTTATTCATGTAAAAACATTACGAAATAAGTGAGCTAACGGGTAATTTCAATTCGGTGTTGATGAAAATAAAATGTTTCTTGTACTTAATGAACTCAAGAATGTTGGTGAAGATAGACTCGCAAACTTCAACGCTTTGAAATCAATTATTACGGATAATCAAATTAGAATTAATGAAAAGAATCAACCCAGAAAGAACTGCTCAGAATGTTGCAAAAATTCATTTTCGTAACTAACAACGTCTACCCTGTCAAAATTGAAGTTGGAGACAGAAGATACGTAGTTTTAAGGGTTAATGGTAAATTCAAGGGTCAATTTGATTACTTCAAGAATTAATGGATTCATGCACTAAGGAATTTTATGATAATTTACTGACGTATTTTATGCAATATGACCTTTCATCATTTAATGTACGAATCATACCGATGACTGAAGCCAAACAAGATTTAATCGAGTTATCAACAAATCCTTTAGATGTATGGATAAATACACATTATTGATGAATTGTGTGCAGGTATGACGTGTGAAAATGCTCTATTCTGCAAACCATCAGACATGAAAGACAAGAATTTCCAAATGAGTATTAAGGATAAATGTATAGGAAACATAGAAGAATAGACGGTAAACAAACATGGTGTTATGTTTTGAAAGAAGAAATGAAAGGATTATATAAACAGGTTGAACCAAACGATAATATGATTCATTTACTGACGATGAAATACCTGATAAATGAAGGCTTTATAAAGTATGAATAGTTTTCGTTTCGTTACAAGGCATTCATACTTTGGAGATATCATATTTAATGTACAGAAAAGTTAATATTAAACAATACATGCTAAAGAATTAATAAATAAGATAATAAAATAAATTTATACGTAATTACTTTCATTTAATATGCTTTATGCTGTATAATATTGATTAAGAGGCATTAAAAGGTTCCATAATCTGCTTTTATAGGCAAGATTTTTGATAAAAATTTTAAATTTTGAAAAATGATGAGAAAAGGAAAAAAAAGGTAAATGAGAGCAAGAGGAGGGAAAAAGAAAAAGAAAAGGAAGGGAAGGGAAAAATAAAAGAAAGAAGGACATATAAAAATTTAGATGCGCATTCTTCATGCCGAGGCGGCTTGCCGCCGAGGCGCGATTTTTTTAGGCCTCTACGGTAACCCGGCAATGTTTTTTTAAATCTTGTACAGCCCTACTATATTTGATGCAGTCAAGCATTTTATAATGACTAAAGGTATGAATTCTAGGAAATTTATTTTCATATTTTCTCACTAATAGAATATTTTCATTTTATTAGACAATCCATTAAATACATTAACAATCACGATCTTTTATCATATAATGTGAAGTAATAATAGCGATATAAAAAAATTGTGACAAAGTTTTTTTCTTCACATCACTTTAATGACTCAAGGGTCCAAAAAGAATTTGGAATGCGTTGCAGTGTTGCATGCTAAGTAGTGTCAATGTGTAAACCTCTCAATTTTATCGTCGGGGAAGCAACACAATTCCCTCAAAAATATTGAAAAAATATAGAAAATAAAATGAATTAAGATGTACTTAAAATGAGAAATAGATTATGATATTAGATTTTAGAAAAAACAGACTTTTGATATAACTTTTGAGAATCTCATATAAAAAAAGCATTTAAAAATAAATTTAAATATCTTATTTATTTTACTATTGTAAATATATTCTGAGATTTTTAGAAAAAAACACTTTTCATAAGTATTCAATATTTGAGAATACGGTCCAAAAAAAATAGATTCTCTTATATTTGCTTATATAAAAGGAAACTCTCTATCAGATCGAATGCATGAATTCAGCACCTCTGATAGAGAGTTTCCTCTTATATAAGCGGATCTTTTTCATGAGTTATTGTTAAATTAAAAACATAAAAAGCTACCAATATGAGAAATTAAACCCTGCGAGTGCCAGTCTAGAACTGGCGCTTCGCAGGGTTTAATTTCTCTTGACAAATGACAAAACTTGTTCGCAATTGTGAACCATTGCGAGCAAGTTTGCCAGATATCTGGAAGGAATTGCTCCTTATGATATATGCATTGTAACTGTATATATCATAAAGAGCAATTCCTTCAATTAAACGCAAAAACTTTGGTGCAATCGTTGCTGATTGCACCAAAGTTTTCGAACTTTCCCGAGGGAATTGAGGGTGAGAGATACATAGTCTATCTATGTACCTCCCACCCTCCAAATCCCACTCTAAATGGAGAAACTTTGTTCGCATGTTATCTTATTTAAAACAAGTTTCTCCCATTTAGAGAAGGAATAGGAGCCTACCAGGCACTGATAATAATCAGTGCTTTGTAGGCTCCTATTCCTAATAGAAAGTTCGAAAACTCGGTCGCAATTGCATCTGATTGCGACCGAGTTTTCGAACTTTCCCGAGGGAATTGAAGGGTGAGAGGTATATAGTATGCCTATATGCCTCTCACCCTCCAATTCCTTCTCTGAAGCTGGGAAATTTTGTCCAAATGTTAAACTATTCAGACAAAATTTCCCAGCTTCAGAGAATAGGAGCCTACCAGGCATTGATATATAATCAGTGCTTTGTAGGCTCCTATTCCTAATAGAAAGTTCGAAAACTCGGTCGCAATTGCATCTGATTGCGACCGAGTTTTCGAACTTTCCCGAGGGAATTGGAGGGTGAGAGATACATAGTCTATCTATGTACCTCCCACCCTCCAAATCCCACTCTAAATGGGAGAAACTTTGTTCGCATGTTATCTTATTTAAACAAAGTTTCTCCCATTTAGAGAAGGAATAGGAGCCTACCAGGCACTGATATATAATCAGTGCTTTGTAGGCTCCTATTCCTAATAAAAATTTGAAAACTTTGGAGCATTTGATTATTGTATTTTGTCAGAGAAAATTCAACCCTGCGAAGTGCCAGTTCTAGACTGGTGCCTCGCAGGGTTTAATTTCTCATATTGGTAGATTTTGATGTTTTTATATTAACAAAAACGAATGAAAAAGATTTGCTTATATAAGAGGAAACTCTCTATCAGAGGTGCTGAATTCAGGCATTCGCATCTGATAGAGAGTCTCCTTTTATATAAGCGAATATAAAAGAATCTATTCTTTTTGGAGCGTATTTTCAAATATTGAATACTTATGAAAAGTGTTTTTCCTAAAAATTTAATATAATGCTTAGCACAATATATAAAATTAAAATATCTATAATTATTTCTATATCACACTTTTCATTACACCTTGAAAAGTCTTCTCAAACTCTATTTTTAATTATTTTTTAGATATATCTCAAGTGTGATTATTCAAAAACTCATATAGACTATATTTATTTTTTTCATTCAAAAAATTATATGAGAATCTCAAATTAACTTTCAAATTTATCTCTCTATATCTCCATCTTTCTCATAATTAATGAAACCTCTCCTTATAAAGGATTTTGTCGCTTCCTTAGCTTTAGTTACAAAACCTACTCTTCTCTCAGATTTCTTCTCTTCATATTCTTTTTGCTCTTGTTTAATTATTTCAATTGCAGCTGAAGTATTTTTCTTATTAAGTTTTTCAAGCCTTTCAGGATCGATTTGCTTAGGCATTTTTCCTGTGTCTGCTTGCTCTGATTTATCATCTTTCTTCTTACAACCATCTTTGCATAATTCTTCGTAACGATTTCCTTTTTTAACTTTGCTTTTGCCATTATTTCTGCTTTCTTTGTTATTCGATTCATTAGGAGCTTGATTATTATTCTCGTTATATTGTTCTAGTTTCTTTTTGCTCTTATTTTGTAATTTTTTAAGTTCCTCAATGAATTTGATAACATCTGTATCGTCGTTTTGATCTTCTTCTTCAGCAACTTCGTTATCTTCATTTATTTCTTCTTCAAATATTTCTTCTTCTTGAAAATTATGCTCAATTTCTGAAATTTCTTCCTCAGCATCTTCTTCCTCGATAGTATCAGTGAATTCAAAATGAGGCTTGTCGCTATCTGAAGAATCCATCAAAAATTTTAAACGTATACTATTTTATTTCTGTTATTATATAATATTATGCATTGAATTCCATTTACATTTTTGTAAATTTCAGGACCACATCCCATAAATTATTATATTTTTTTATCATATTTATCAAAAAATGATTAATTAGATGTTGCCAAAACCACACATTCTTACAAAAATTTGAACTGGTAAATTCAAATCATGATTATTCAAGGTGAGTAACAAAATCAAAGAATATTTTAATAAAAAATACAAACACTAATATTTATTAACAATACAAACAAATAATATATTCAAAATAAAATGGTTAAAGTCTCTGATATTGTCTTTCTTCCTGTATATTACACATTCCATGGGTAAATATAGCCAAAAATAGCAAATTACAAAATATAATATAAGCATAAATTCGAACAATCTTCCTAGCCCTAAAATTATTCGGTGGGAAAAGAATTTTAGGATCAATTCCGTCATCTTGGTCAATTATTCTTGCTGGCTCTGCATTTCGAGGCTGTTCAATAGCAAATAAAAGGTTTGGATGTATTTTACCTGAAGGACGTGGAAATCCTTTTCCTATCAAGTCTATTGAAACTTGTAAATAATCAAACGCTTCGTATGCAATTGCTGACCAAGCATGAGAGTATGGACCTGCATCTTTCTTCCATGGTTTGATTGTTGATGGAAAATGAAATGAAATAACTCTTGGATCTGGATTTTCCGTATTATTCAAACCAAGCATTGATGCAGGGTTTCCTGGTACTTCAAGCTGATACCATTGAGGTACCGTAGTAATATTACCGTCAAAATACTGAGTAATAAGTCCTTGATCATGAGGACCAGTCCATGAAGCACCTTGTAGTTGTAGTTTGTGGCCATATTCATCAGGATCTTTTGCCCAATCAAGGGCAAGTGTTTTCATCTCTGAATATGTCTTGAGTGAAGGCTTTAATAAGAAGAAATCTCCATTTGTTACAGGACCAATATGAGACATTCCGTAAACATAGTGATCAATGATTGAGCAAGGAGGAGGAAAGTCAAATACTGATGATGGATCTCTCCGAAATACGACATCTGTCCCTGTCCACAATAATTTCTCCCAGCCAACAACACTCCATGCATTTAATTTAAACCACAAATACATATCTCGAGCATGCGTATCTATATATCCATCTGGCCATTGGATATAAGGTCTATATAGTATATGAGTCCAAATTTGTTTTAATAATTTCATCTTTTCTGGAGGTATTTTCATTTCACTTGGTATCATTAGAACTCTGTCGAAGTTAGGACTTGTTTTTAATAAAGAATATCCGCATGTAATTGCTAATACAAAATAATGTCCGCTGTCATCATCGCCTGTATAGCCTGAAAGGTATGCGTATCGCGTTTTTGCTGGAGGATCATTGAAATAGTAATATGAATTCGGACGTTTTTCTTGTTCGGCCTCTTGATACAAAAAGATTAACCAACATAAAAACATCTGATTACTTCATATATATTAAATGAAATTGATATCTATTTATTTATATATTCAGCATGTCATATATTTCTTCTAAAAGAATAGTAGTATATGTGGAAGGGTTGTGTGACTTTTTTTGTAAACGTAAGAATTCATACAATATAGAACAATTTTGTATCATTTTTTTTAACATATGAAGTAAAAAATGTATGATTCTGACGGTTTTTATTCTTACGTTTTTGAATAAATCAAGATTTAAAAAATTTTCAAAATTGTAAGACATTTACACTCAGCCCATACTAAACGCATTAAAAAATTAACATATTAATTTTAAAATAATTTATTTCATCTTTTATAAAAGAAGCTATATATAGATGATGTCAGATATTCCGCGATTAATTAAACATTGTTTAAATCCTGAATGGAATCAATGGAGTCATAATCAAAGACCTCATAAACGAGTAAAAGAAATTAGAAATAATTATTTTCATGAATGAAAGATTCACTACCATAATGAAATAAAAAATAAAAAAATAAACTTTTAAAATTCAATGTCTTACAATTTTGAATAATTTATTTTTAATTCGTATGAAATGAGCGTCAAAACTAACGATGTTAAAAAATTGGGATTCACAAATGAGGAAATAAAGGATATATTAGAGGAGGCGGGTTATGAGGTTGATAAATATTATTTAAGAAATTGTCAAAAATTCGCGGAGTTTTTAAATGAGTTTGATTATGATGGAAAAATGAATAAAGATGATGTTATAAATTTCTTATATCCCACATACTAAAGAAAATTGTCAGTTAATGTGTTGTTATTGCAATGTCGTGAAATCAAATAAAGATGAAGATGTTCAACGTTTAAGAATCAATTGTAGAAATTATGCATTAAAAAATAATTTACCAATGACTTTAGATTCAGTTGAAGCTTATCACATTCTCCGTAATGGAATTACTGGTGGTCTATCAAATGTTCAACATCGTGTTAATCTTAAAGGAATCACGCACATTAATAAACTTTCATATAATCCAGAAACTAAAACTGTATCAAATGAGGACACCACCAACATTATGACTCATTTCGTTGGAGTTGACTTTAATTCATTATATCCTTCATCATTTTCATCTAATCCTCATGATTTCATTCAATATACTGACCATAAAATGTATATGCCGGGAAGATTGAATGGTGTTATCATTTGTGATACAGCAACAAAGAAAGCAAAAGCACTGGGAATTATTAGAAAGAAAAATACTTTATTCGTGGCTGAAGTAAAGGGTCACATTGATGAAAAATACATTAATGATTACATAAACTTTTTACCGATAATAAGAAACTTAGATATTATCACAGATGAAAAAACAATTGGCAGTTTTATGTATAATTACATGAAATCAAACAATTTACCAGTTGACCAGAAACAGAGAAAATTAACTCAGTTAGCATCAACACACAACCAATATCAACCATTTTCTTCTTATTATCTTTGGTATCTAATCGACAGATTTCATTTTATCATTGATGACATTCAATCAATTTTAACATTTACTAAAAACACTTGTTTTAATGAATTTGCGAACAAATTTATGAACGAAAGACAAAGGGCTGAATTAGAAGGAAATAAAGGAAAAAGTTTATTTTGCAAGATTTCACTTAATGGATCATATGGTTACGATGCAATGAATACACAAAATTACGCAAAGACTAAAATAATGAATGCACAGAAGGCACGCGTTGCATGTATGTCAAATAAGTTTAAAAACATAAGAGAAATAGGAGAGGATACATATCAAATGATGCTCAAAGATAGATTTTATAGATGTGAAACATGTTTACAAGAGGCATTCTTCACTTTAGATAATGCTAAATACTGGTATTTGGTTTTCATTTATGATTTTATGTATAAATGCATGGATGTTAATCGTTTTCATTTCATTGAAGGTGATACTGATTCATCTTATTGGGCAATCGCTGGCAATCCAAGTCTTCCTAACACTCAAGCATTTCAAGCAATTGTTACCGATAAACAATTTTATGATAAAAACATTTTCAAATTCGCACCTTTTGATTTCTTCTGTTTTGATGAGAAATTTAAACCTAAATTAAAGAATAAAGCTGAAGAAAAAGCACATGAGAAGAAGTTATTGGGTTTAGCAATTGAGAAACAAGGTGATAACATGGTTGCTTTATGTCCTAAGTGTTATACATCATTCAACGGTTCAATTGATGGAAGTGATTTTAAAAAGATTGCACAAAAAATGAAAGGTGTTAGTTTACGACAAAATAAACAATTAACACCTAAAAATTATTTGGATATAATAAATGATAAATTGATATTTGATGGTCAGAATATTAATTTACAACTTAAAAACGGGTCAATGACTCGCTTAACAATCGGTAAGACTGCATTAACAGGAGCACACACTAAGGCTGTATGTTGTGAAAATGGATGTTGTATGCCATTTATTTAATACAATTTAAAATTTTATTTTTAATGAAATGCCACAGAAGAGACAAAAGGAACCGTTAATGATGGTTTTGATACTATGATTCAAAGAGGCGGGCACCCTTAAACATTTATTTTATTTTTATATAAATGGATAACACAGATTTAAAAATTTTAATTGATGATTTAGTATTTAATCAAAATTTTCTTAATTATTATGATTTAAAAGCATATCTCCAAAAATATGATAACAATATAACGGGTGATGATATGGAATATTATTATCCATATTATAAAAATGAAATTTTGAAATATCATAATAAAATAATTTCTGAAATTAAAGACAAAATTAAAAATAATGAATATACAAAGGGAAAAACTAAATCACAACTTAAACAGTTGAAAGATTTCAAAAATAAAGTATTAACAGAAGAAGATATTGATGAATTATATAAATTATATAATCCTGAGCCACAAAAACCAAAGCCAAAGGAACAACAGCTAAAGGAACAAAACACCCAGGTCCTTCAGACCATAAATGAAGCACAAGCTTTAATTTATGATTCATTAGTTAAACCATATTCAGCCCGACTTTTAAATGAAGATCAACTTTTGGAATTCATCCTTCAACATAAACTCGAAGCGGGAAAGTATATCAAACCTTTATATACAGCATATTTAAAACAAATGAATAGAATACATCCAGAATTAATGAAGGAAGGAATGAAATCCAAAATCAAAGCAGATAAAATTAAACCACTTGCAACACCAAAACCTCCAACGACAGTACCACCTCCTCCTTCAGTTAATCCTTCATCATTCACTTTATTATATCCATTTCAAACATTAAAGAAGCAAAAAGATTTTAAAAAGGATTTCAAGATATTAAATAAACCAATTGACCCAAAAATTCAACCGTTAAAGGAAAAATTTAGTCGCCCTTCATTTGCTCCATATCCATATTCATACGAAATCGATCATCTGGAATATTCAAAAGGAAACGTTACTTATTTATTTGCCATTAACATTAACACTAGATATTTATATTGCATTCCGTGAAAGGGAAAACAGAACAGGAAACAAGAAGAGCTATTCAATACTTACTAGATCATGAAAGAGTAGATAATATCAGGGGTGATGGTGATAAAGGATTTCAGGCAGCTATGACTCATTATTTCCCACAAATTAATTTTTTCTTCTCATCCTCTCCATATACGTTTCATAATAAAATAGTTGATGCGGTAATGAGAACTCTGAGAGATGCGTTAGGGGTTAACGGTCAGATATACTGGGATGGAAATCATGACTCCATCATACAGCAGTTAGTATATTATTAAATAATACATGGCATAGAACTATAAACATGAAACCGGTGGAAATGAAAAATGATATTTCAAAAGAATGGGAATATATTAGAAAGCAAATGGAAAAGTTAAATGATGTTAAACGTGAACAAATTAATTCGGGGCTCATGAATTTTAAACAAGGAAATAAGGTTTTTAATTCATCTCGATTATGGAAAACTGATAAATCAATGACAAAAAGAAGACGAAGATTTGACACAATAGCTGAATTTGTTAGATATATTAACGGCAATGCATTAGTTGAAGTTGACAATAAATTAATAGAAATTCCGATTTATTTTATTACCCATTATATTTAAATAATATTTAATTTTTTTTATTTCGTAAGAAATGAGTGACAACAAAGCAGCCAAGAGTCCAGACGATGAATATAAAAAGAAACTAAACAGAATTAAATCAAAAATATGCTATTACAAAAAAGAAGCCACAATGCGGTGGGGTTGATGCCCATAAAACTAATGGAACTGAAAACGATAAAGAAATAATCGAAAAATTAGAAACTTACCGTTCAATCCTTAAACTGAGTGAAGCAAAAATAAAAGAATTTAATAGAATAAATAATTGATTGGAAGATGAATTTAATAAAGATGAATTTTTAAACTCAATCCAAATTTAATTTTTATTCCTCTTTGACAACATCTCTCTTTCCATCATTACTGCATAACCACATTTTCTCAATTTTAGTGGTTTGTTATTTTTAACATGTTCTTGCATCATTTTTATCATTTCCTCCCTTGTTATGATTCGTGGTAAATTTTGAGCTTGTGGGGTATCCATTTATATAAAAATAAAAATTTGTTATCAGTTATTTTATCGTTAATGGTTTTTAGGTTATTCAATAATGAATTATTTTTGAAGAACTGAAGGTGCTACCATGTTACCATGTGCTACCAGGTCATTTAACTTCTTTTAAAAAATGAGACAACATGACATTTAGACAACAACATAGAAAATTTGATGTAGCCCAAAAATAAAGTTAGTTTTAAAATTATTTTTATTTTTTTATTCCTATATAAATGACGGCAACAAACAACAACAGCAACTATATCGTTTCTGATGAAAAAGTTATTGATTCATTAGCTGAGGAATTAGTTGTGGCAGAAACTAAAACCCTCAACGAAAGAATTGGTGAAAACAGATTGATTTACATAACTACCTCAAACACGATGGAGGAAGAGGAAGGAAAACTGGTATGGCTTTATTAGTAAATAAAATTTCAAATTTAACGATTATAGATGTTGATATCAATAAATCGTACAATGATGAACTTAAAGAAACAGTTAGAAAAGACATTTTATCAAACTTTCGGATAAAGATGTTATCGTTAAAACCGCATCAGGAGGTCTTCACATTTATTGCAACACTAATTTCTTCTATTCAACCTCGAACAGAATGATTAAATGTTATTCCTGCAATGATTATGATATTGACATAATGACTTCTATGGATGATTCAAAGCGTTCATTAGTGGTTATGGCTGATTCAAGAGTTGCAAGAATGCAACAGAACCAATCAAAATACTCATTCATTCGTGGAAGTTATGATTCAACATTAACTAGAACAGTAAACGATATATTAAATGATTTGAATATTAAGGTAAGAGTTGAACAGAAGAATGAAGAAATAAGAGTATAATGAATGAAAACAAAGATGTAAACATTGACGATAAACTTGCCCAGAGCATAGTTGATGGCATCTGTGATTTTGAAGTACATAATGACGGTGGAAACATGAATTTAGAAAAAGAAATAACATTATTCACACTGTTTCAAGCAATTAATTCGTTACCGGATCATTTAATTAATGAAGCCTACGATAACGTTTATAACTTCTGCAATTTAACTGAAATGCTAAAAGTAATTTTGAAAAAGCACGTAGTAGATATGCACATTTAATGACTTTCTCCATTTGTTTTAGTGAAGATTCTAAAACTATACCAAAAGGAATATTATGATGAATACGTTTTACCTTTATTACGTAAGCCAAAAATAACATTTGATATAAAACTTGATGATTCATTCTTGATAACAGATATTAGACGCAAGGCTGAAAATCATCAGTATAAAAACAGTTCTGAAGTAATTGAGGATTTATCACGTGTAATCCGTTTTGTAGATTGTGGAAACAAATACTTCATTCAGAAAGATTACAACATACACGACAAAATGAATCAAATATCATTCGTTCTTCAATCAAACATGAAAGAGTCACTCAAAATGATTAAATTATTTAAAGAAGAAGGTAAAACCATAACAGCATGGGACGTACTATTAAATCAATTATCCTCATTAACCGTTAAGGGTGTTTGCTTTAAATCTGATTCTCCAGATGTTTTCTCAACGTTTCAGGGTTATAAATACAACATTCTTGAAAAGCCTGATTACTCAAAAATTGAGATGTTTATGGATTTCATTAAAGAAGCCATTTGTGATAATAACGATGAAGTGTATAAATACCTTCTCGGCTGGATTGCATCAATGATTCAACATCCTGGAATCAAGAATGAAACAGCAATTATTTTGAAAGGACTTCAGGGAACAGGTAAAAACAGATTACAGACATTATTTCTGAACTTCTCGCTGGTTATTCATGTAAAAACATACTGAAATAAGTGAGCTAACGGTAATTTCAATTCGGTTGTTGAAAATAAAAATGTTTCTTGTACTTAATGAACTCAGAATGTTGGTGAAGATAGACTCGCAAACTTCAAACGCTTTGAAATCAATTATTACGGATAATCAAATTAGAATTAATGAAAAGAATCAACCCAGAAGAACTGCTCAGAATGTTGCAAACTTCATTTTCGTAACTAACAACGTCTACCCTGTCAAAATTGAAGTTGGAGACAGAAGATACGTAGTTTTAAGGGTTAATGGTAAATTCAAGGGTCAATTTGATTACTTCAAGAATTTAATGGATTCATGCACTAAGGAATTTTATGATAATTTACTGACGTATTTTATGCAATATGACCTTTCATCATTTAATGTACGAATCATACCGATGACTGAAGCCAAACAAGATTTAATCGAGTTATCAACAAATCCTTTAGATGTATGGATAAATACACATTATGATGAATTGTGTGCAGGTATGACGTGTGAAAATGCTCTATTCTGCAAACCATCAGACATGAAAGACAAGAATTTCCAAATGAGTATTAAGGATAAATGTGATAGGAAACATAGAAGAATAGACGGTAAACAAACATGGTGTTATGTTTTGAAAGAAGAAATGAAAGGATTATATAAACAGGTTGAACCAAACGATAATGATGATTCATTTACTGACGATGAAATACCTGTAAATGAAGCTTTATAAAGTATGATTGGAATTTATTTTTGCCTTCCTCCTGTGTTGTTGTCTAAATGTCATGTTGTCACACTTTTTCAGAGAAGTTAAATGACCTGGTAGCACATGGTAACATGGTAGCACCTTCAGTTCTTCAAAAATAATTCATTATTGAATAACCTGTAAACATTAACGTAAACATTTATTTCTGCAGTTCATTCATTACTTCATTACATATAATGACCATTTCATAAGATTTTCAGATGGTATTAAAAATGTAATTGATAGATTAAAATATGAACAGATTGACAATATCGAATTTTTGGAATTTTGGTTTAAATATCCCGATGGAAAAAAGATTGAAGTTAAAGATAAAGCTGATACTGTAATAAACAGAAATTCATCAAAAGTGACAGCTCTCAATTTTTTGACATTTGTAAATTCTAAATTGAATGAGAAAAATGAAATAATACTAAGCATAATACAATATTCTAGATTTAATTATAATTAGGAAAAAGTTAGTTTTTAGAGTACTTTTCATAGGCATATAGAATGAAATCTTCTGAAAAATAATATCACATAAACTCATATTATTTTCTAATATATAACTATTTTATATAAAAATCAAATTCAATGCTCTTAAAAGCGAAGGATAAACCTCAAAATTTACGAATATAATGAGTGGGAATATTTAAAAAAAAAAAAAAAAAAAAAAAAAAGGTAGTGGGGCTTCCAGGCACTTCGTGCCTTCTAGCCCCGTTGATGTTTAGTATAAAATGAAAGTCTTTACGAAGAAGAACTTTACAAAACATAGACAAGAAAGTTCATGAGGAACTCTCAACAAAGTCTTTACGAAGAAGAACTTTACAAAGTCTTTACGATGAACTCTCAACAAAGTCTTTACGAAGAAGAACTTTACAAAACATAGACAAGAAAGTTCATGAGAAAGTCTTTACAAAGTCTTTACGAAGAAGTCTTTCAAAGTCTTTACGAAGAAGTCTTTACAAAGTCTTTACGATGAACTCTCAACAAAGTCTTTACAAAGTCTTTACGATGAACTCTCAAAAAGTCTTTACAAAGTCTTTACAAAACATAGACAAGAAAGTTCATGAGAAAGTCTTTACAAAGTCTTTACGAAGAAGTCTTTACAAAACATAGACAAGAAAGTTCTTGACAAAGTCTTTACGATGAAGAAGTCTTTACAAAACATAGACAAGAAAGTTCTTGACAAAGTCTTTACGATGAAGAACTTTACAAAACATAGACAAGAAAGTTCATGAGGAAGTCTCAACAAAGTCTTTACGATGAAGAACTTTACAAAACATAGACAAGAAAGTTCATGAGGAAGTCTCAACAAAGTCTTTACGATGAAGAACATTACAAAACTTCATCGTCAATGAGTGTAAATCAGGCAAAAATATATTTTAGGGTAGATGGTTAGATCTAACCTGTTTTCTAACCTCATTTCTACCCTCTTGAATTTTCATGAACTTTCTCAACAAAGTCTTTACGATGAAGAACTTTACAAAACATAGACAAGAAAGTTCATGAGAAAGTCTTTACAAAGTCTTTACGATGAAGAACTTTACAAAACATAGACAAGAAAGTTCATGAGAAAGTCTTTACGATGAAGAACTTTACAAAACATTGACAAGAAAGTTCATGAGAAATTAGACGAAGAAGTCTTTACAAAGTCTTTACGATGAAGAACTTGACAAAACATAGACAAGAAAGTTCATGAGAAAGTCTTTACGATGAAGAACTTTACAAAACATAGACAAGAAAGTTCATGAAAATTCACGAGGGTAGAAAAGAGGTTAGAAAACAGGTTAGATCTAACCATCTACCCTAAAATATATTTTTGGGTCATTTACAAAACATAGACAAGAAAGTTCATGAGAAAGTCTTTACGATGAAAGAACTTTAAACATTGACAAGAAAGTTCATGAGAAAGTCTTTACGATGAAGAACTTTACAAAACATAGACAAGAAAGTTCATGAAAATTCAAGAGGGTAGAAAGTGTCATATATACATCTGTCAAAAACCGCTTTTTAACTTCACTTAAAATGCCACGTAAGCTACGTAAGGATATACGTAAGAGGAAGAGAGCATTGAAACATCCAATAGTAAAACTGACACCACAACAACAGTTGCAACAACAAATGCTGAATGACCCCACTATGTTGCAACAAATGTCAAGCAATCCTATGCTTTTAAACCGAGTTGTTGGTGCACAGAGTGGAGGTTTAAGAGCGGCACTTTTAGCGAAAATGGCAGGCTATGGTGGAGCTGCAGACGGAACAGCATATAACCCTCAAAGTCAAATGAATTTGAGTTCACTCAAAAATCAAATAACAGATGTCAAAAAGTCAAACATAGACATACAGAAGCAAATAAGTGAAAACGAAAAGAAACTAGAATATGACAGACACACAAAGAAACTCAATGAGTTAAACGTAGAGAAAAAGAAGAAAGAAGAACAACTGAAAGAACTAAGTACAGAGGAATATGCAAAAAAAGTGTCAGAAAAAGCAACAGAAGTAGCAAAAATGGAACAAGATGTCATAAATTTGAAAAACCATACTACTCAATATAAAATACTGAAAGATGAAGAGATAAAACAAAAAGCCCTGAAGACATATATGGATAGCGATGAGTATAAAAAAGAAGTTGAAGCAAATGTAAAGGCAGAAAAACTTTTACAGTTGCAAAACCAAACCGTACAGTATGAAAACTTAGCACAAGAAAGTAAAAATAACGACGCGGCTATGCAAAAAGGCAATGAAAAGCGCAGAATATATAAAAGCTAACAATGACTGGTTAGATGCCCAAGCCAACGCTAAAGCAGCCCAACTCATAGGGTCAATAAGGACAAAAATACAAGCGGATGAAGACAGTTCAAATGAAGCTTTAACGAATGCTGACTTTAAGAACGCCTTCGAAGCTCTTCATAGTAAGGTGAAACAAGTGAACGACTTCTCATCTGGAAAGAAACTGAAGTCTGAAGGTTTCGACAAAGAGTTAAAAGAAGTAGCACAAAATATGACGAAAATAACAGATGCAGCAACGAGACAGGCAGTTCAAAGTGCCTATGACGCCGTTAGAGCAACTGTTGTGAAAAGTCAAGAAAAAGAGTTACAACAGACCAAAACAGACCTAGTAAATGCTTTCTTAAGAACGAAAAGTCAGGTAGGACATTACGCTGCAGATGGAACATATGTGCCAGCTGGTGGAACTTATATACCACCAAAACCTCCAAGAGAAGCACCTGCACCAGGACTACCTAGAACATTTACATCGTCACATGGACACAGACACAGGCATGCACAACAACCAACACAACAACCAACACAACAACCAACAGTTCAAAACCCTGCACAACAACAACCACAAACAGAACAAGGACATAAAAGAAGTAGAGAAACAAGGAAACCAAGAATTCTTAAAAATGCTTAAAGAAGAGTGTGGTTTCCCAGATACTGTTGACTTTAGTGACAGATATAAAGAAGCTATTGAAAGTTCAAGGATGGAAATACTGACCCGAACCTATTTAGCTTTATGGCTCAGCACCAAAACGGATATAATCTCAAACCTGGAAAATACAAGCTCGCTAAGGATATGATTTAATAGCATATCATCCAAATGACATGGATGAATTTACTCCGAGATATTTGATGTCAGAGCTAAATGACAATTCAACTTTCGTCATGAAACGCGTAAAAAATAGAGACGGAACGAAAGAACAAAAAGCTTATGAATGCGGATGACGTAGATAGGGAAATTGTTGAAAACGGTCTCGGAATATATGAAATGCCAGCAGATGAGGTACAAGAAACTCCACAGGAAGAGTTCAGATACAACCAGACATGGAAGAAATAGTTCAGCAAACAGCTAGAAGAGCCTGAAGGAAACGAACAAGTCCCTCCTTTGGAAACTAACTTCACAGAACTAGATGAAGATTTGGAACAGCCGAAAAAATCTTGACCCTCAACAAGAGTATGCGGAGAATATGGAATATTTCCAAGAGTCTAAAAAAAAATTCGGCTGACATAGTAGAAGAATATCGAAAAATGTTTGCCGACATACAAAAGACTCCAGCACCAGATGAAAATATTCAGCATAGAATGGAAGTACTGAAAGAAAATGTACACAAATACACAACCCTTTTTTACTTACGAGCATTTAACGTTCAATCTTCGGATGAACTCGGTGAAAATAAAAGGTTAAATTTCAAGAAAACATATAGAAATGAAACATTGTTTAAAGTTCATTCAGAACCTAACCAAGATGGAAACAAACCTACTTTTGTTCTGGAGACGATGGAACTACAATGAGATGGGGTCATAAAGCTAATCCGGATAGGTGGTTCATAAACTTACAACCACCAATTCCAAGAAGTTGTAGACGCAATGGAAGTGAATGGTGAACGAGATATAGCTGGTATTTTAAGCGCGGCTTTAATGCCATTGAAAGATATGAAACATGCAGATATTTTGGACCAGTATGAAATGAACATGGCTGATGGAAATATAACCCTGACGTTCTAGAACATTTATCTCAAAGAACTACACAGAACCATAGAGATGGTATATTTGGTGAAGAGTTTAGAAAGAAAGTTAGGGAGGAGAAGAGAAGAGAACCTATTGTACATGACCTTGCAAACGAAAGTTTACAAAATGTCATAAAAACTTACTTTGCAGACAATGAACCGAGAAGGGATGAATATTTAAGAAAACTCAAATGGACAGTACCAAATAAATGTTAGTATTGAAAAACATGTTCCTTGACAAAAAAACCAACTACAGAAATAAACGACGCAAGACTGAAAGATTGGGTAAAAGCTTTCCCATTCACAAGATATAGTTGGTAACATGGAAAGAAAACCAGAATGGCTACAAAAACATATATTTGGAAACGAGCATATTCCATATGGACAGGCACTGTTTGAAGAGCTTGAACCGGAAACTCAGGAAAGAGTCATGCAAACAATACGCGAAGACTCAAATACAGACTATGACAAACTCTTTCTAGGATATAGGTTACCTGAGATGGGCGACCAGAGCCAAAAGGCAAAAAGGACATGGGAAATTTGCAACATACTAGATGAACATAATGCAAAGATGCAACAACTTCAAGCAGAGGGCAATGAAGGAAAAAGAAGAGTTAAAAACTCAGTCAGGAAGAAAGTAAAGCTTGGTCCACGTGGGTTCTATTATGACATATAAATCCAACTATTCTATATTTTTACTCATATGAAATGTACGCCGCTCAGAATATAACGCCAACAGTTTTGGATGCTATGAATGGAAATGTTTCCGAATGGTATAACGAATGCGACAATGCCATTAGAAGGTCAGAAATAGTTCCTGGAACTTACGAATATACAACTGCTGTTTCTTATGGAAATGTAGGTGAGTTTGGAGAAGGTTCTTCAACAACAGTAGATATTGCTTGCGACAGGTTTCATATTATTTCTATTGACAACTCTTTCTTATACGTGGAACAAGACATTGAAATAAAACCTTCTGCCAAGTTGTCTGACAAGAAAGGTTGCAATGGAATTTTCTATGTCGGATACCAATATGCTCCAGAAGTTTTCATGGGATATAAGATATATTCTAACTCTGACTTAGTTCAAACAGTAACATGGGCAAACTATGAATGGTTCGCTTTGAGAAACTCAGTACAACCACAAGCTAGAGAACAAACAGACCAGTATGCAACTATTGAGAAAATAAGAAGACTTGACCCTAACGTTCCAGGAGTTTATGTTAACCTTTCTGGACAAACTGCAGCAGCAGTAACCAAAGTAAAACTGAAACTTAGAGTTCCTTTGTCATCTTTCCTCATCTTCAGGTTTTTAAGATACTTGCCAAACTGGGCAGGAAAAATTTCTATCGAACTTACTCCAAGCAAAAATAACTTAGTCATTGCACCAACACAAGACCCATTCACTCTTACAGACGTAAAGGGAGCAAATCAAACGTCATTCGCCGAATTTTGCAAAGACAAAGTTGACTTAGACTTTGGTTTCTCAAACCTCAACACTGAAGTAAACTATTATTTCAATGCTGCTGGAACTGCTTGGGACCCAGTTAAGTTCACATGCGAAAAATTTGAATGCAAGAGAATAGAAAGCAGACTTGCAGTCTATATGTTGGACCCAGATATTTCAAATGCTTTAGCTGCCAAATATATTGCAGTTCCACTTATGTTCCCTATACACCAAATATCTGTCAAAGACTTTGCAGGTGAAGTTGGAAACCAAAGTGCTGACCCAGGTGCAAGAACAGATATTGCTTTAACAACTGCAATGAAACATGCAGATACTATGTTTGTACTGTTCAGACGAACTATAAATGACTATTCTTGCTTCTACAACCCTGGTATTAAATACCATATAAACATAGATGGCAAATATTATCCAAGAGAAGAATATTCTACAGTTGAGGATATGAGGTCATACAACTTGACATTAGATGCTATGAACTTTAACAACAACTTCACAACAACCATTAACCCTGAAATGCAAAGTTCTATTATGCCATATGTGAAAGTATGGACTCATACAGGAGGTCAAAAAACTCAATATACAAATGGAGACCGTTCAAACTTTTGGCTTGGCATTCCATTTGCTGACTCAGAAGACTTTATGGGTGGTATTTCAACTGTTGGTACAGTTCAAATACAATATACTGGTGACAGAGACGGTCCAGATGAATTGAAAGCAAAGAAGTTTACAAAACCAATAGCACTTTTCACGGAAGATGCTCTTTTGAAGATTCGTTCGATGAAACCTGCTGGGGCTCCTCAGATTGGCATAACGACAGCTTCCATCGAGCAGATTTTGGCAGCAGGTCAGTAAGTTGTTCTTGAACTGACTTCTCTCCGTCAAATATTGACAGTACGCCAGTTTTGACATAATATTGTATTAAAAACTTTCCTTTAGAAATATCGGTCAGTTTTGTTGTTATATTTTTGTCAACTCAAGAACTTTCACCATCTCGTTATACCAACTTTCTTTGCTTTATGAAAATATTTTGGTTCAGCAAAGACTGCTATTCTATAACATTTTCCATTGTTTGTATAAAGAACTATTCTGTCAATGAACTTGTATTGTTTGTGTGTGTAAACTTTGTTTTGCTTCAATTCGAAGAGATACTCAAATACGTCCATCTTTTTATTCTAAGTAAAATGTCATTTCCGAAAAATAGAAGCGTAAGTGTTTCAAAAGGTTTAATGGCGATGGCAGATGTGAAGTTAAATTCACCAACTCAAACAAACAGTCAAAGTGTTGTTGTCAATGTCAAAGAAAGAGATGTTGAAGTGGGGAAACCATACGAAGACGAAGATGGTATAACAATAGTTCCTGTAAAAGAACAACCAACATACCCTGAAGTTAGCAGAGACTTAAGTTCTGTTGCAGATATTCGAAACGACTACCAACAACTTAAAGACAAACTTAAAACTCAGGAGAAGATTTGTCAAGCTTTGGGTATAATGTTAAACTTGGTCGAACACAACCCTGTAAAAGTGAACTCATATGTCATTGCACCTCATGAAGTTTTGAAAGAACTATTGAAACTTTTGACAGAGGCAGACGATATAAACATCAAAGAAATAGAACCCGACATTGCTTGCTGTGGTGTTTCATACAATGTCATTGACAAGATATACGTTATGAAAGGAGGTGAAACGTTGAACTTAAAATATAGTTTCCCAGACGTCATAAAAATATTTGACGACCACAACATTTCATTAAAATTTACTTGCTAAGTAAATGGCAGAAGACATAGTGGTTTATACTATTACGACTAAAAACCCTGAGTCATATAATTCTATAACAACAAACTTACAAAGTCCTCAAGGACGATATTGTAAACTGACCTTAAACACGATGACGACTAAAGCCTGTTTTGCTCTTTTGACACCAGAAGACTTTGTTGTTGTGAATGGTAAAAAATACTTCTTTGAAGATACTTACTCAGATATACCACCAACAGGTTTTGTTGACTTATTTAATACTTTAAGGACGGATGTAACATGTGCTGCAACTAGAGCAGGTTTCATTATGTTTGGATGTCCGACTGAGTTTAGTATAAACGATATGAGCTATAATACAAAACTTATATCTGGTTTTTACTACCAACAGTTTCCTATAACAGGAAAAGGTGTCATACAAGGTTTGTCTGTTCCATTGACTTTAAGTACACCTATTTTATATATTGTTTCAAACTTAGGTTCAAAGTGCTATTCGAATGTCGACAGAAACTACTATGACCAAAAGATACTCATGCGTATAAACAACACATTCTCTGCTGGTTTGCCTATTGTTCATTCGAATGCTGAGTTTTCAGCTTTAGTAAACTCAAACACTTTAGCAAACATAAACTTAACCTTAGTTGACGCAAACTTTGTTCCTGTAAAACTTTTATGTCCTATGTATTTGTCAATGACGGCAGAAAGTTTCGAATTGGAAGATGCAACTGGTGAAAGTATTGTACTACAAGAACAACTTCAACAACAAATAGCTCAAGAACAACAAATGCAACAAATGGAACAAATGCAACAACAAAGTCAAGAATAAAAAAAATATTTTTTTTTATTTTTATAAAAAATGTACAGAATAGACGTTTCAGATTTTTATGACTTCCAAGCGTTCAGAAATATGTGTCCATTTAGAGACTATAACAAAGCAGTCGAGAATTTGAAACGTTTAGTCATTTATGTCGACTCTGCCCCAGAATGTTATGTCATGAAAGAATGGGATGTTGTCTTTAACAAACCAAGAGCAACAATAGTGTCTGAACAAGAATGTAGACAGAAACTTAAGAAAATAAAAGTTGTACAAGTTGGTATGAAGATGTTAGATGCTTGGGATATCTTATTGTCAAAGTTAGAAGATTTTTCAGTTCGTGGTATAAAGTTCTATACACCATCTCCAAACTTCTATTCTATCTTCACTGGATATAAATACGAACAAGTAGAATGGAAAGAAAATGTTATAGAAGCTTGGTTAGACCATGTCAAAGAAATTATATGCAATGGAAACGAAAGAGTCTATGAGTATATCTTATGTTGGTTTGCAAACATCTTACAACATCCAAGTGCTAAAAATGAAACTGCTCTCATTATAATTGGAAAACAAGGAACTGGTAAGAACACTTTCTTTACAGATATTTTGTGCAAACTGTTAGAGGGCTATTCGAACCCTAATATGACAAACTTAGAAAACATCTGCGGTAAATTTAACTCTTCAATAGAGAATATGAAACTTATAGTATGTAACGAACTTCAAAGTATAGATACAACAAAGGTTTTAAACTCAGATGCTTTGAAGAGTCTTATAACAGACAAAGTTGGAGTTGTTGAAAGAAAGTATAAAGACCAAAGAGTTTGTGAAAATGTTGCAAACTTCATTATGGTTTCAAACAATGTTGTTCCGATGAAGTTAGAAAGTTCTGACAGAAGATATGTAGTTGTCAGAACGTCAGATTCTCATATGCAAGATACAGAATATTTTGACGACTTAGCAGAAACTTTGACACCAGAGTTTTACAACCATTTGTTCTCATACTTTATGACATTAGATATTTCTAAGTTCAATCCAAGACAAATTCCACATACCGAAGAGAGACAAACATTGTTAGAAGCAAACAAGAGTGTATATGAACTGTTCATAGATGAAACTGACTTTGAGTGTTTAGATGAAAGGTCATTGTACGATTCGTATAAACAATATTGTCAAGAGTATGGTTATATGGCAGCGTCTAAACGAACATTCTTGGCAAATGTCAAAAGTCTTTTAGATGTTCAGAACGGCGTATATACAAAGAAAAATTTTTCTGAGTAAATTTTATAAAAAATATATATTTTTATTTTATTTGAAATGTACGCTGAGTTTGTTGGAGAAGACCGTTGGGAAACTTGTTTGTTAGATGAGAAATATGAAATTCACTGTTGTGAGTCATTTGAAGTCAGAAACAAAGAGACAAAAAGAGTTTTAAGCGGATGGGAGCAAAATAACGGATATGCGCTGTTCTGGTTAGATTGTCCTTATGAAATGTATGAAAAAAAGGCTTTATATGAAGAATATAGAAAATATTGTTATGAAAACGATATAAGACCAAGCTCTAGAGAAAAATTCTATGCTGGTATAAAACATCTTTTCAAAGTTCGGAATGGCAAATATAGAAAGAAATAATTTTTCTGAGTAAATTTTAAAAAAATATTTTTTTATCCGATAGAAAAGATGACGAAATATATTTCAGTCAACAAATATATGTCAGGACTTAAAGAAGAACTAGACCCATTCGCTTATTTGAATGTTTACTTCTACCATTTTGAAAAGTCTACATTTGACAAAGTTTGGAACATCGAACCAGTTAAGTTTGCTATTGTGACTAAAAATGGTGCGAAATTTGAAGACTTAGACATAGAAGGTTTGTTAGCAGTCAAAGAAAATTTTGACAGAAGGTTTTCAAACCTTAAAGAAGGCAAAGCATACAAACTTGTTATACCTTATGAACCAAAGAAAGCAGACGACTATGAATATTATGAGTCTAAGATAGTTGAAGTTCAAGGTAAATTGGGTAAAAAGATTTTAGAGTCTAAGCCAGTGTTTGCTCCTAAAGAGGAAGAGAACATTGACATTGACCCAGAAATGTTCTAAAAATAAAATTTTATTTTTACATGTCAAATTTCTTTTTCTCTGGAACTGGTTCAGGTTCTTTTTTCTCTTCTTCTACTTTCTTTTCTTTCTTTTCTCTCTTCTTCTTCTTCTTCTCTGGTGGAGTTATGTCAAACTTCTCAGAACCATATTTTTGTAAAAGGTCTTTGTCCTTTAATAGCTCTTCTATTCTGTTTCCTATTTCATCTTCAAGAACAGCGCATGTGTCTTCTTTGCATTCTAAGAACTTTTGTTGGACTTCATCTTTCCAATCGGCGTCATCTCTGTCAACAAGTCTGTCATTGACAAACTTAAAGACTTCTCTGCCTAATGTTTTATGGTTCTTGTCATATTCCCAGAAACAGAACTTTAGAACAAATTCACCTTTCTTGTTTACACTATGTAAGATTTTATGGTCGACAGATGTTTTGCTGTCAAAAAGCTTGTCTCGAATATAGATAGCGAAATCGCTAGACATTTTCAAAAAGATAAAAATTTTAATTTTTCTAAAAATATGTTAGAAAAAAAGTTTGCTGACATTGACAAGAAATTTGAGAATGTTTTAAACAAGAACAAGAGGAAGTTAGAAAATGCTCAGATAAAACCCATACATGACAAGTTCTTATTTGCTCAGAATGGTATAACAGGTCTAATCGCACCACCTGGGTCGGGTAAGACTTTCACTTATCTTAAAATGGCTGCACAACAACAAGAACTAGATGAGAAGAACCCATTCTATGAGTTAGTAGTCATTTGTAGTACTTCTGGTCAATTTGACCAAACCGTCAATTCGTTCAAAGATATTATAAAAAAGTCTAAGTTAGTATGTATAAAAGACTCTGAGTTGTTAGATTGGATAAAGAAGTACCAAAGAAGAGTTTTGAAGTACAATGCTATAAATGAGTATATAAACTCGAAGTTTAAAGACCCAAATGAGGAAATGCAGAGAATATTAGAGAAGAAACACTTCCGAAACAAACAGAAAGAGATAGAATACATTTCGAAGAAATTGCAATCTTACGATTGGAAGACTTACCCTCACAGATGTCTTCTTATCTTAGATGACTTTGCTTCTCATCCTTTGTTAAAGAACAGAGAACAAGACATGTGTCGAATTCTTAAGAAGCTCAGACACTTTAACATCTCAGTTGTCATTTGTGTACAGACAGCCAAGAGTTTAAGTAAGGATGTTAAAAGAATACTTACTGATATCATACTTTTCCCCGGATTGTCCGAAGACGATTTCATGGAACTTATGAAAGAGTCCATGGCAGGTAAGTTTGACAGACATGAACTCTGGGAGAAGTACAAAGTCATACAAGACCCTCATACTTCTTTCAGAATTCACATCTACGCGAACAAAGTTCAAATTGTAAAAAGTCAAGCTTGAAAAATGTAAGTGTTTAGTCTTAGTCTGTTGTGGTGCTGGGGCTGTCGGTTCTTCTGGCTTTGGAAGACATTCAGGAAGAGGAACGTCAGTCCTCCGTTTGTGTCCTGTCGGAAGGAAGAACTTTTTCTGTCGGAAGGAAGAACTGTTTCTGTCGGAAGGAAGAACTGTTTCTGTCGGAAGGAAGAACTTTTTCTGTCGGAAGGAAGAACTTTTTCTGTCGGAAGGAAAAACTTTTTCTGAAGTTCGACCAAAAAGTTCTCAATTTTCGAAAATTTGAATGGTTTACGGACGAACAACAGGAAATTTTTTTCCAGTTGTCAGGAAATTTTTTTCTTGTCGGAAGGAAGGACTCGGAATGCCAGAAGGAAAAACTTTTTCTGTCGGAAGGAAGGACTCGGAATGCCAGAAGGAAGGACTTGGAATGTCGGAAGGAAGGACTCGGAATGCCAGAAGGATTTGACAAGACAATTTACTTTATAGAGCTACCTGAGCCATCTTTGGTGTCAAGCTTGAAAAATAAATGGTTCATCTACCCTGCTTGTTTGAAGTTGTCAAAATACTCTGTTATTTTTTCTTTCAGTAGCGGTAAGTCTTCTTTGAATGTAAGTATTGTACAACCTTTCATATCATAGTGTGTTTGAGGTAACGTATCTTGAACTATCTGTTTAACATCTTCATTTGGTGTCATTGAAATCGGTAAGTTTTCGCGATAGAACCAATTTCTGTCAGATTTGTAAATCTTAGCAAGGTCGTAAAAGCTTTTGTTGTTTCTTCTGACTAAATGCAACATAACCATATCTCTGTCTTCTTCATTTTCCATCTCTTCAGTGTAAATCATATACTTATAGTTCTTTTCCTTTCCTTTTGGTACCGAACGTGGTATTCTTTTCTGTATGTTTTTGTCTTTTGCTTCAAGCTTGTTCTCTAGCTCTTCACGTTCTTGTCTATGAATTTCGTCAAGAAGTTTACAAACATACCAAGCATAACGAGGCGAAGCCCACATTGCAACAGCATTTACAAGAAGTCTATGTACATAATATCCTCTCAAACCGTTTGGCAATTTTTCACGATTTTCATGAGTTTTAGGCGAGTAAGATTTTTTACTTACTCGCTGTTCTTCACTGTTTTCAGAAAAAAGTATGTCTCGCTGTGCTTCGCTCAAAAATTCTTGTGTGCTTTGGTTCCTAAACCAGTCTTGTGGTTTCTTAGTATCTGGAGCAAAACATGCTGTCAAAATACTTTGCATTTGGTACATATCGTCTTTGACCGAACGAATGAGACGTAACTGTTTGTTAAACTGAACCCACTCATATTCTTCATTTATAGCTTCATGGACTATAACTGTTGTTGTGTTCTCTGTTGTTGACATATCTGTCTTTACATACAAAATAAAAAAATTTGTTAGAAAAAACTAACTTTATTTTTTCTATCTTAAGGAAATTCACTGTTTTCATAGAGTTTTGGCGACTAAGTTTTTTTACTTACTCGCTGTTCTTCACTGTTTTCGTACGGAATCTCTTCTCTCGGTTTTCCGAGGGAAGCAATCTTATGCCATTTTACTCAGATTTTTGTGCTGAATTCAGCAAAAATATATTTTAGGGTAGAAGGTTAGATCTAACCTGTCTTCTACCCTCTTTTCTACCCCAGTTATTTTATAAGCGTTTTACATGGTAAACGTTATTTTTACATGTATTTTTCAGCAACTTCGTCAAATAATTTTATAGCACTATCTATCTCATCTACTTCAAACGTTTCTTTACCTTTTATGGGAGCACCATACATTTTCTCAAACTTTTCGAGTAGTTCTGTTTCAGCAGCTCTCATATCGTTAACTAACACAACCTTGACTCTATTGACTGTACTGTCATATCTTAGAGTTATATTATATGTCCTTCCTATCTTATATCTTTTGTGTTGAAGTCCTTCGGTTTCTGAACGATGTAAAGTAAGCCTTCACTGCAACGTTCTGAGTCGAATAAACCATATGTTATGAAGTTATATCCAACAACTGGGTCAATCCATAACAAAACTATTGGTATAAGACTTTTGTCTATAAGATATGCTGTAGTTCCATAGAATCTTACCGATATCATAAGCTCAGGATTTCTTGTCAAAATTTTCTGAGTAGAAGCAATTCTAACCCAGTCCTTTGCTTTCTTTCCAGATGGAGATAAAATGTCTGACAAAGAATATTTGTTGTATTTCTTTGAGTATCTTACGTTTAAATCACCTATTCTAACCACTTTGGTGTCATTGTCTATCTTTCCAACTGTTTCAAACTCATTGTTTGACATTTCTTTCTTTAAGTCAGCATAGTCGTTTCTCATACGTTCTATCTCTTTGACGGAGTAGTTATATTTCCTCATTGCTGCTTTACATTTAGAACATTGTGGGTTCATTTTTGCGTTATATTCTGAAACCTTACCTGCTAAAACAACCAAGGCGTCAATGGTTTTCTTTAAATCTGAAGCAGTTGGTTTTATCTGTTCATTCCATACCTTACCTCTTCTATCTTTATCTCTTATCTGCCATACACATTTTGCAACTAACGAAACAAAGTTGTCGTAGGTCTTAAACTCCCGGGTTTTGTAAAGGTCAGAAACATTCTTATATACCATGTCGCAATCTTTGTCCATAACCTTATGGTTGCAATGAAATCCTAGAAACTCATAGTTTACCTTTCGTATGAACTTCTTTATTTCTACTGAGTCAGTTGCTTTGACTTCTATTTCATCGAATTCTGGAATAGTAAGCTTTTGTTGTTGGATTTCAGGAAGTTTAGGTAGATGGTCAATAATATCCTGCATTTCATAAAGATATTGTTCATTTGTTTCATCTTTTGCAGTGCAATCTAAATCTCCTTGGAGAAGTTCTTGCTTTATCTTCTGGATTTCTGTTTCGAAAGTATATGAAGAAGGAATGAAGCTTTTCATCTCTACTAACATTGAAGTTGGGTTCATGACTAACGAGTTTGGTGCTGTTGTTGCTAACATGTTCTTACAATAAAAATAAAAAAATATTTTTTTAAAAAAACCAACTTTATTTTTTATGTTTTTTATGTTTTTTGTGAAAGTGTCAAAATTCAAGAGTTTTGTGTGTTTTCTACGATGGTAGAAAAGAGGGTAGAAAAGAGGTTAGATCTAACCTTCTACCCTAAATTATATTTTTGTCGAAAAAAATGGTTCATTTACTCACAATATTTTTTTACAAAACGACCCCAAACTTTTAACTTCTTTTCTGCAGCTTCTAATGAAACTTTAGCGAGTTCATATTCTCTAAATTCTCTTTTTAAATCTTCTTGTTCCCATTGGTCTAGTTCGTATGGAGAGTCTCTATAACCAGAACATATCTCACGTTCATGTTCTATTTGTTTTTCATGCATTTTTCTAACTTCTTCTTCGAACAAAGGTTTTGCATTCTCTACTGTATCTTCAAGTTCTTCTTCATCTAATTTCTCATGAACTTTCTTGTCTATGGAGTCCAGAATTTTTCCAACTGCTATGCAATATTTTGGAGAAGCCCACATTGCTATATAGTTTACAAGTCTTGGGTCTACATACATTCCTCTAACCTGTTTGATTTCATCCGGAATTCCTGCATGAATTTTGTATAAAAAGCAACCCGCCGTTTTCCGCGGGTTGGTATATTCTTCACAAAATGCTTGTTTTGAGGTCGAGCCACTTTTGGCTCCACCGTATTTTTTCAACCAAAACTCATTTTTCAATACTTTTTCAGCACTTCTCCGTAGTTATATATGAAAGACAATTCGAGATAAAAGTCGTAGTACAATGGAACAATATGTTGCACACCATTTGTTGTGAACCAAACTTGAAAGTCAGAGAAACTGTTACTAGGTGGTTCGTAGAATTTAGAAGCAAAGTCATAAAAGTCCTTACCAATACATAGAAAACTGTTGTTGCTTGAACTGAAACTTGCATGACACATAACATTTTGAGGGTCAAACACGTTTCTATAAACTGTCAAATCTGCTGGTGGGCGTATAAACCAGAACGGACCGTCAGGTGGCAATGGTTCGTTCTGGTTTAGTAACCGAAGAAATTGTGCCCAAGAACGTTTGTCTACTTGCCAAAATAAAAACTGTGTATCTCTTGGAGGGTTATTTTCAATCCTTTGAAATGAAACGGTGGAGTTCATCTTGTCATATTCTAGTTTCAGATAGTATGTTCCATTTAGTAAAGAATCGTATTTTTCTTGAAATTCCCAGTAGTATTTGTTTATTTGAGTTTGAAAGTCATTTAGAGTCTTCTCAAGACTTTCGTCTGAACGAACTGTAAAGATTCTCATTTCATCAAATTTGTCTATTAGACCATCATGACCTCTATACCGCCCATGAAAATATACTGCGAACATAAATGCGTTAGTTCTTTTTGAAAACAAAACTTTTCTAAATCCTATTGCCTTTGCATCTGAAGGACTTTGAAGCCAACGAATTGGAAAGTCAAACCTGTAAGCACCGGATGAAATTTCTTCATCTGATATTGTCCTACCGGCATTTGTAAAGATATAGTCTAACGGTTTTGTATCTGCTACTTTTGTTCTTTGTTTTTCAACCTGAAACATTTAATATATGTAAAAATATACTGTTTTAAAAAAAATGTTTTAAAAAAGTATGCCATTTCATATTTCTCATCTAACAAACAAGTTGTCTGACTGCTTGAGGGTTAGGTTGGTACCATTCGAACTTGACACTTGCAATTCCTTCAATTGCATTCAAAATATCTGAGTCGGAGTCAAACATTTGTTCTCTCTTTGTAGTCTTGAAAGCGTCAAGAAGTTGTGCGGCTGTTGTGACATTGCCATGTGCATAGTATATATGACCGTCCAAATCTGTTATAGTTAGTCTGAGATTGTATCCTTTCTTATTTCCATCTTGAATGGCAGCAAGTACTCCCATGAAGCCTTCTTTGTTCTTTCCTTCGTCAAAGTTTACTGTAAAGGTTCGACCAGATGTAATTTGACTTCTAACTTCACGATACTTCTCATATGCATATCTTGTTCTTTCCATGGGAGCATGTGCGTCTTCACCCTTTCCTTTTTTCCTTCTCAAAGGATGCAATTGTTCGTCATGTTTCCAGTAGAATCTGGCAAAGCCGTCGTGTCCCTCAACCTGTGGCTCACTAACATTGAAAGGCATGTCCATAAGACGTTCTTCTTCTAACCTCTCTAGTCTGTTTGGATAATTGGCACGTGCTGTTTCCAAATCCATTTCGTAGCGAAGACCAGACAATTTGTCATAGACTTTTATGGGTCTTCCCTTCCTATATTTAAACTTCTTTGAAACTCTCCAACCATATCTTTCTAACTCTGCTTTTATTCTAGCAGACCTTCTGTCCATTCTATACGGTGGCATTTCTATAAAAATAAAAAAATATACTGTTTTAAAATGGTATGCCATATAGCTTCTTGAATTTGTTAAGATGTATTTGAACGTATTTTCCATCTGTATCTCTAGCGTTTACATGAGCATAGCCCGCCTTAGTAAAACATACTTGTAATTTCCTATAGTTTACGCCGGTATAAAAGTAGAAAGAGTCTTGTTCTTCGCTATAGTAGTAAAACTCAAACGTATGCTCGCCATAGTCTGTAATTTCAATTGCTTCATCTTCTAGTTCGTCGACAAATTCGAATACAATATCTCGAAATTTGCCTATGTTCTTATTGTTTTCAGAACAAGTGACCCAACGCAAGTTTTCAAGTCTATTGTCGTTTCTTATATGGTTTATATGGTCTACAAAAGGTAAATTGTTAGGGTTCGGTATAAAATGAGTTGCAATGACAACATGTTTAAAATAGTTTTTTCCACTCATCTTCATATTAGCATATCCGTCATTTCGCTCCCATCCGCTTAAAACTCTTTTTGTCTTTTTGTTTCTGACTTCAAATGACTCACAACAGTGAATTTCATATTTCTCATCTAACAAACAAGTTTCCCAACGGTCTGTTCCAACAAACTCAGCGTACATTTCAAATAAAATAAAAAAATATTTTTTTTGAAAAATGTTTTTTCCTTTACTTAACATAACCACCAGCTACCATAAGTCTTTGACGCCAACCCATACCAGCTAATGAAGGTTGACTTGGTTTAGTTTGGAAACTAAACTTTGGTTTTGGTTTATCTTCAGTTTTTGGTTTTTCTTCTTCTATCGGTTTTTCGTCACTTTTCGGTTCCTCTGACTTTACCCCACTTGCAGGTATGGTTGTGTCGTCAACCTCTTCGTAAATATCATATGCCATTTGTTTTTGTTTTCCTTTCAACTTTTTGTGTTTGTTGTAAAGTTTAGAATATTTCGACTCTAAGTCAATGAGATGTTCTATAATGAACTGTTTGTCAGTGAAGTAAACTTTTCCATCTGTTGTCTCGAAAGCTCCTTCAGACTTCAATATTTTATTTGTGAGAGTCTGTTTCTTTTTTGAGATACTAGCCGTTCCATTTCTATGAAAAGTGACTTTGTAGTTAGGGTTTGAGTTACCAGACCTGGCACTTTCTATTATTGAATTTTTCTCTTCATCTGTAAGTTCTTTGACAGGTTTTGACAATGGTTCTGAACTTTTTGTTTGTGGTGTCAAATCTACCGTTTCAACTTCTTCGGTCATTTTCATCTCAGTAAAAAATTTTAGTTTGGTTTGTTTTCAACTGGTTGTTTAGGTTTTTTAAGTCGGTCTAAAACTTCTTGAGGTATAGGAAGGACTTGACAAACACGTGGTTGTGTAACTGCTGGAAGTCGACAAATCCATCTTGAACCCATTTGTCTTAAAGCTGTATTGTTCATTTCATCTCAGTAAAAAACTTTACATTCCCCAAGTTTGAGGTGGTTGAGGTTGGTTGTTGTTTACCCACTGTTGTGCATGGTTATATCCTCTGTTAAAGAATCTTTCACCTTGGTCCATATAGTGTCCTGCTTGGTTATAGTAGTCATTTGCTTTGTTATAGTAGTTTCCTGCTTGTCTTCCTACATTGTCCATCCATCCTTGAACTTTTCCTCTTGTTTCAGGATTTGGAATAAGATTTGCTGCATCTCGTGCTACATCCCAACCTTTCTGTACGGTTTGTATAATAGGTTGCGCTTTCTCTTTAAGTATACCTAAAGTACTCAAAATCTTCCTTCCAATTCCAAATGCACCTCTGGCTAGTGTTCCCACTGCGGGCAAAAATCTAGATGCGACTCCTGCTAATGCGCCAAATAAACCCATTTCTTATGGGTTAAAAATGACGAATTCAAACAAGGACCCGTATGTTTCTAAAGCGACAAAGAAAGCACTCATGGTAAAAATCTTTAGTTCAACACCAAATGCTTGGTTTATGGATATCTTGGAAAACATTCCGAGGTATAGAGAAGATGGACCTCCATACTGGCTAATATTTGTTGGTCAAAACACAAGATACTGTGAAGCCATACCATTATGGTCCAAAAATATTTTAGATGTGAAAACTGCTTTGACAATATTCGTTGACAAATACCATCCAACAAAACTGACATCTGACTGTGAAAGTTCTTTCAAATCAGACGATATTAAAAACTATCTGCGTTCAAAAAATGTAAACCAATATTTCATTGTCGACCAAAACCATTCTGCTCTTGGTGTCATTGACAGTTGTATAAAAATCTTAAGAGACTTAAACCAACCACAAGGTGGTGAAGCAAATGAAATGTCATATGACGACAAATATAGACACTTCTCCATGGCAAAGATGAGACAAGTTTTAAATATTTACAATACCCGTAAACAAAAAGGTTTGGGAAACCACTCCCCCGAAGAAATGAAAAACAACCCTGACTTAGAGAAAGACTATATATTTAATAGTTTAGTCAAAAGAGACAAAAAGAAAGAATGCCAGGCTTCAAACTTCAGAAAGGTGACAAAGTAAAAATAGAAATACCTAAACGCGACCCATATGAAAATACTATTGACTATGACAACAATGGGAACTCGACAGGTACTCACATTCGTGTTCGTAAAAATAGAAGAAAGTATACAAGAGAATATTATGAAGTTTTAGGCAAACATGGCAAAATGTACAGACTGCAAGCAGAAGATAAAACTACTATTGTCAGACCTCGTTTCAAACTTGTTAAGGTTCAAGGTGGTATACTTTCAAAGACAGTTCCTAACAAATATAAGACAACTCCTGACGAATATGCTAAAGAAGTTGAAAATGACGACTAAGCATTTCTATACCATGCGTAAACTGTCATGTAAGGTGGCATGTAGTCTTTACTTTGTCCCGTTGTTTTGTATATCCTGTAACGCGATGTGTATGGTTTCCATCTCCCTGAGTGTCACTCCAGTAACAATTTATAGCAAACTGAACGTCGTCTTTAACATCATATCCTTTACCTTTTTTCAAGGCGTGCCAATCCCAAAATTTATGCTTATGCCAACCTGCTTGAGATGTACTTAAATCTACGTAGTGACTGTGTGCAGGTAGGTTTTCACCTGAAATCGTTTTACTTCCGCCTGTTTTTCTTTGAAGAGTTTGCACAATACAAAAACCTGTCGACTATTTGAGTCCAAGTTCCAAAACCAAGTACTACTTCTGTCTGGTAGAGTTCATTGACGTGTAAATAGAACCTATAGGATATAGTGTTTGAAGTATTTCTGTCTTTAACGTTTGAAGCTCTGTTTTGTCAGCTTTTTTATCATATAAATCTTGAGCAGTGAATTTAACTTTTTTTCATCCTCCATGACATAGACATTTCTACATCTAATGTATCTCATCGTTGTTATGTCTTCTTCCGATGTTAAACCTTGTGGAAAGTTAGGAGGTTTCCAATTTAATACATCCCCACCAGTTTCTTCAACCGTTCCTTCAATATTTTCTATACCAACAGTTGCGAAGAAATCGTGTGTATGTCCAACGTCACTTTTCCTGTTTAAGGTTTCTTGTAAGTTTGTAATATCAGATATGGTATGTGTATGAGTCTTTTTAGAATATTCTTTGTCAGCTCTTGTCACTTCACTTGACATTTTATTGTCAACATATGTTTTATCTGCTTTGTCATCTAACATTGCTGGTAGTTCATCTACGTCATAGATGTTATGTGTATGATGTTTTTGTGGGTATGTTCTATCTGTCCATGCGAGAATATAGTCTCTTGTTGCATCTACATACTCTTTGTCAGCTTTGTTGTCAATATCTGCCTTCAAAAGAAGTTCATCTATAGGTTTCTCGTTTAAAGTTCTTTTTGTTGGATTTATACAAACAGTATGGTTCTTACTGTCTTGAAACAGAAACTCGTCTGTCAATGGGTTTATCGTCAGTTTTAAGTTTCCTTCTTTCAATGACTCAGATATCTTAGAATAGTTTGAAAGTTTGTTGTGTTCTTATTTAGAGCTTGCACAATGAGTTGTCGGTTGTGTTGTATTTCTCTCATAGACGCTGTTTCTTTCGACATTTTTATTCTAGATAAAATATGCTTTCAATAGAAAAAGAAAATTCAAGAGTTGCTACAACTAAACCATTAGATGAACTTTTTACTAATGTCGGTCAAAAGTTTGAGACAGAGACCGTAAAGCATGAAGGCTATCGTTTTGACTACCCGTTAAGATGGTTAAGAGACCCATCCGTCACAAAAGCTATTGGCTTTCGTAGAATGAAGTTCATTTCAGAAGCCATACATGGTTTCCCATTTACGGTCGCTTTTGAAGTTCGATACTATAACAAAGAAAAACGTACGTATGAGAAATTTGAACAGGGAAAACTTTTACAAGTGAATTTGCTTGTAAACTTAGAAACAACTCTTCAAGCTTTCAAGAAAAAATAAACGATATCTATCTCGAATATGCAAAACAGTACAACATTGACGAAGGAGAATACCATCTCGATATTATATATGACAGGAAAAATGCAACTGTTAAATTCAATAGAATAGAAGACCTTGGAGAAGACGTTTATATTTCTACAAAATATAACAACTTGGCATGGTATAGATTTTTGAGGATGTTAAATCAGCCTGCAGAATATCCAGTACACCCGAACTTTTATGAAGTCGAAAACCCTAATGGAACATATGAAATGTTTTCGACTCAGATGCTATTATAGTTCATGCTTCATTTTCTGGTGCACAAAACTCTTTTTTATGCTTGGCAAATGACTTTTACGAAAAACCTACAAAGCTATATGAACCACCGAGTGGAAGTATTTCAGACTTTCAAGTATGGTTTACAACAGATGGAAGAAAGAGAATAATTCCATTATACCACGCGTTTTACTTAGAACTTAGTCTCATATACAACTACTATCGAACGGTAAAAATATAATTTTAATACGGTTGAGGTGTTGGATTTGGTTGCCAACTAGACTGTGGTGCAGGTTCAGGCTGTTGTATAACACAGGAGCTTGCTCTTCTG